GAGCATGCAGAACCTTGTAGGTGTAGGACTGCCGTGGGTGCTGCGCTCATGCTGTAGGCTCTCATCCGTGCTGATGTGAGCTGGCGTGCGCTGAAGGAAAGGTGCGTGCCCCCGAGCATGCAGAACCTTGTAGGTTTAGGACTGCCGTGGGTGCTGCACTCAGGCTGCAGGCTCACATCCGTGCTGATGTGAGCAGGCGTGCGCCAAGGGAGAAAGCGCACAGCTTGGGCTGGGAGCGAGGTTTCCCACTGGACTCGGTCTGCTGAAAACATTCACTTTGACTGCTGTGTTGCTCACACGCGCATTTTGTCTGTTTTCTTGGGCTGCGGTAATTTAAACCCTGTTGGAGTACACCGGCCCGCTTGTGTGTGGAGGATGTGTGAGGAAAAAAGCCGCTGTGAGCTCATACGAACTGACAGTCAGGCTGAAAAACAGACACTTTAATTCTTGAATGATGTTTACGTTTTATTCCAAAAAACTCAGACCATCATTATGCACACACATCCTCCGCAATTAATCATTTTAAAACTTCTCCCCCGTGAGCCCTGCAGCTTGTTGGAATGAGGAGGGCTGTACTCTGACGGGAGGGGCTGGCGGCGGAGCGGAGTGAGAAGACGCTGCTACAGCTGAGGCGCATCTCTGCTGTCTTAGCTACGGCACTCTCTCCAGCAGGGGGGGGTTGCGACTTAATCAGATGGCTCACAGTCTCCGACACCTCCTCCGCTTGAAAAATTGGCTCCAAACAGTGTGTCCGACGTGATGGGGCCTTCCAGCGTCAGACGCCTGCAGAGGGAGCTCTTGTCTCCTCAGGCAAGTCTGTCTCTCCGGCCTAGAAGAAGCTGTACGTCAGCAGCGCAATGTATTGTTTGCTGCGGCCACCTGGAACGCATGCTGGTGAGCTCGGTTGGAGAGCGACGTCACTGTCTGGTCATGACACATGAGGCGTGGGACGCTGGTCCAACCTGGACATCTTTGCTCCGAGAGCCTCTGCCAAGATTGGCTCCGGGGGGGGGGTGGGGGGTGGGTGTGTGTGTGTGTGTGTGTGTGTGTGTGTGAAGCTGTGCACCGAGGGAATTTCCACTCGGTAAAAACCCCTCCATTCTGGTGATGGACACGGATGTGGAAAACCGGCGCTCTCAGTCCACCAGATCCAGCCACAGCCTCGTTCCAGTAGGACATCACTGCTGGGAAAACGAGGCCAGATGGGATCAGGACGGCGAGCCAGGGTGGAGCCAAGAAACCTTCCCGCTAGATCATCCGAACTGGGCGGGGGAAGGAGAGGGACGGAAAAAAGTCCCTTCATATCAGCCGCCTCCTGGATTATGCTGGGTAGCTCCAGAGGAGGGCACCGATGGCTGGGAGCGGTGTGGTCGCCGATGCGAAAAAGGTCCCGGGGGCGGGGGTGTGTGTGTGTGATCATTCGCTCAGCCCCCCTCGTTCCGACACTACGCTCTCCAGGAGGGAGTGAGCAGCAGGGGCTGCTGCTGACGTCACCTGTCCCGGAGGAACAATCCGATTCGCTCCGAGAGTCGGCGATGGAAGGAAATTAAAAGATGGCGTCGTCCAGCGTGTAGCGACCCGCCACTGAGAAATATTCCTTGGCGCTTACCTTGAAAACAAGACTGATCGTCTGCTTCTCCTCGGGGAGGAGAACTCACCGGGACGGCAGGAGGTTGGCGTGGCAGCGCCACAGGCAGCCTTAACAAAGGTTGAGCTGGTCAAGCTGGACAACTTCCCTTCTTCGTTCTTCTGACAGTGCTATGAGCTTGCTGAAGAAAAATGGGAGCCGATTACCCGCTCTTAACGTAATTTATACGGACCGGGTGGGGCCCACACAACAGGTGGGCATGGACTAAATTTTTCAGTGCGATGTTTTGCATGACGGGATAAAACCCACTAAGCAACAGTTCTTAAGGGGCGAAGCCTATACGAAATAGAACTAAAACATTTTGTCAATGCAAAAGAGGAAAAGGGGGCAGGTGTCGCTCTCGCTTGAGTTTACTCTTTGTTGCATGCGTGCCGGGCCTGCCCATCCAGCACATTATTATGGCCTGGCCTGCCCCAAATTCAGGTCTGGCCAATGTTGCCAGGTGTACGATAATTATCGTATTTGTACGACAATTTTGCCCTCTGTACCATCAATAATCCCAAAAAAGGCCAAATATATGATAATTTAACCATTCTGTGAATGTGTGGTTGTAATTGGTTGTCATCAGCCCCTCGCAACTGTCTGTCTGAGTTTTTTTGTGAACCCCGAAGGCATCTGTGTCCGCAAACAGATGCACGATTGGCTGGAAATTCCAGTCAATCGTGCTTTTCTAAATGTTACCTACGAGTGACGTGTTTGCGTTTGCCTCAGAACAATGGCCATGATTGGATGAATAGTCCGCTGCGCCCGCCCCATGAGTGAGGAAAAGAAAAAAAGAAAAGAAGAAGCAGAGCCGGTCTGGAAGCGGACCCATCACTACTATAGTGCATAAATAGATTTGTTATTTTGGTTACGACGGGTGTACGATAATTTCCCTCAAAATACGATAATTTTATGTCTCTAGTACGATAATCCTACATTTCTCACCTGGCAACACTGCCTACGAGTGACGTGTTTGCGTTTGCCTCAGAACAACGGCCATGATTGGATGAATAGTCCACTGCGCCCGCTCCATGAGTGAGGAAAAGAAAAAAGGAAAGGAGAAGAAGCAGAGCCGGTCTTGAAGCGGATCAATCACTACTATAGTGCATAAATAGATTTGTTATTTTGGTTATGACGGGTGTACGATGATTTCCCTCAAAATACGATAATTTTATGTCTCTAGTATGATAATCCTACATTTCTCACCTGGCAACACTGGGCCTGGCCGGGTTTAGAAATGTCAATGCATTTCTAGTCCAACTAATTTCAAGTCCCACATTTGTATCATACAATCCTCAATAAAACCTAAATATTAATTAGAAAATTTTGCATTTCCTGTGAAAATGTGGTGTGAATGCTTGTTGCTGAATAATTCTGATAAAAGCTGCTGAAGAAAGAAACTGAAACTAAGCTGTAAAATTTCAAATTCTACTTTGGTAATATAAACAGTTGAACATGAAGCCAAAAATAGTTGAATGATTCGTGGAACTGCTAGCAAACAATAAGACAAAACTAGCTAGGGTCAGAAGTAATAAAATCAATCAATCAACCTTTATTTCGACAGGTAAATCCCATTGAGCCTCGAGGACTCATTTACAAGAGAGACCTGATTTCAACAAAGAAAGATGACAACAATGGACAACAGCAACAACAAAATGCCTGCAAATAGACAGAAAAAGCTGAGTCGAAAATAGCTACATATTAGCTAAAAAGCAGAAAATGCTAGCCTAGAGTCAAAGGTAGTGAAATGTTAGCAAAAACACATGAAAGAGCTAGCTCACTTGAATTAGCAAAGCACTCATTTGAAAAAAGCCAGAAATGCTCTTAGAGGCAGAAATATCAAAATACTAACGAAAAGCAGAAAAATGAGCTAAGTGTCAGAAGTAGTGAAATGTTAGCAAAATAGGACAATGCTAGTAGAAAGCTAAAGTAGCAAAACAACAGCATAAAGGCAGAAAAATGCTAGCCAAAAGCCACATTTGCTTATTTAAGCAGAGGAAATGATCACAGAAAAGGTCAAATAAGCTGAAAACAGCTTAAATTGACACAAAAAAAAGGCTGAAAAGTAGCTGAAATGGCAGAGAAAGTTTAAATTAGCAGAAGAAAGCAGAAATAGCATGTTAAAAATTAGCACCAAAAAAACGATTCCCTATATTTATCTTATAATTATTTTATTGTTTGTTTTTCGAACTTGAGGTCACAGATTCTCTAGTTTACGAGCTACACTTAAATGACTCACAGCACCACTGTGCACATAACATGTGCTGGTGCTTTCAACACCAGATGATCTGTGTTTTGATCCTGTATGCTCCACACTGGTTTGTCGTCATTATCTGCATCGTTTTTATGTCTATATTCTGATTTACCTCATTTTGTATATTGCTTTGTGTGTTACCTGTTGTTTTGTCTGTACAGCACTTTGATTGGCCTTGTCGCTGTTTTAAGTGCTCTATAAATAATGTGGTATTGCATGTATTCACCATCAGGGGGCGCTGTTTACACCTAACCGACAAAAGTCGCGAAGAAGAAAACTAAAAAGCGCACGTGTTTCCGGTTTTTCCATCTGCTGGGCACAAATTGCTAACAAACAGTAAAAATGGTTCGTAAATTAAAATTCCATGAACAGAAGCTGTTGAAGAAGGTGGACTTTATTAACTGGGAGGTGGACAACAACCTGCATGAGGTGAAGGTGCTGCGGAGGTTTCACATCGAGAAGCGGGAGGACTACACGAAGTGAGCAAGATAAATAACGTGTAGCTCATGTTTTACTCTGCTGAGGTCCTCAGGTTTAAAACTATTTTCACAAACTGGGATCCTAAAATATTCTTTTTTTAAAATGTGACGGCCGATAAAGTAAGAAAAATCGTGTTTCCTTACATAAAATTCATCACATTTTGTTTTAGTCATTATTTCAGGGTTGTCATTAACAAGTAAAATATGAATTCCGACTGATTTAAAATTACTTGTATATTTGTCTGTATTAAAATGCATTTTAACAAATAACGTTAAACTAACTTAAAAACGGCACAAACATGATGTCTCTGGTTTAGAAAATAGAAAACTTACTGCGTTTTAAGACTCGTCATTAAATCTTAATATCCGTTTACTTTTAAATATTTTACGTGAAACTTACAGCAAATGTTCTTTGACTGTTCAGACTGTACATTTTCAGATGTTAGAATAACAATACATAGGTGATTTTTATGAAATAATCTCTAATAAGTCTTTATTAACCTCAAAGACCAATAATTTGTTATCACAAAAATAATACTTTATTATATTATCACTACAAGTTGTACATTTCTGGTGAAATAAAACCAAAAATATAGGTTGATGAGTGTTTTTAGTTGCAGAATGTCTTTTTGTTCCTTCAGGAAACTCAAGCACTTTTGTTGGAGCAAAATTTAAAATTCTGCCACGGCTCTCTCAAAGAGGATGTAAACAACTGGGTGACTAATTGAATTCACGTTACTTTTCTAATTTCTGATCAATACAGATCATCATAACCCAAGACAATTTTTTGTTTGTTTTGCTGGTAGATCTCCCATATAGGAAAATTACACTATCAGTGATTAGAACCAAAATGCATCTGAGGCGTCACTAAAATGAACATACCTGGTAATAAAATCATAAAATCTTGATTTTGCAATCATATTATGTGTCTTCTCCTTTTTTGTTTCCTAGATACAACAAACTGAGTCGTAACATCAGAGATCTGGCGAAGAAAATCAGAGACCTGGATGAGAAGGATGGTTTCAGAGCTCAGAGCACACACCAGTTATTAGAAAAACTGTGAGTTGCTGATGAATCCTGATGTTTGGCTTGTTGACGGTCTCTGTAAATTATGGAATGACAGGAGTGCTGCAAATGATAAACCTTAAATAATAGAAAACATAGGTTAAAAACTAAAACAATAGATAAAGAAATATAAACACCTCAATCGTCCAGGTAGATAACAACAAAAATTGCTAACTCGTGTCATTTGGACCAGTTTCTTTAAGCGAAGAAGTGTTTCGTCCTCCATCCAGAGGACTTCGTCAGTCTGCGGCCTGCCAACCAGATCTGTCCCATAGGTAGCCTTCACTGCTGTGTTTCAAGCCAACCTCCTGTTGGAATCTCAGGCTTTTAACATGTGCAAACAGAGCACACCCATCCGAAACAATCAGTCATCATGAACAACAATCAAATGTTTCATTGTCCTGTTTATCGGAGCGGGTGGAGCAGCTGCTCTCGCTTTCTGATTTGAAAACACATTATTACATTAGAGACAACAGCATGTAGTGTTCATTCTAATTTTAACAGTAACTGTAAAGACAGTGTCTCTACACAGCAGTGTACACCCACATAAAAATGACTGAAGTTGTGTGTTGAATGTTAAATCAGTGCACCCTGGGATGAAGAACTGTTCAGCTACTACTTAAAAGTAGTACATTTATGCTCAGGATGATTGTGTGTAAACTTCTTACTGTGACTGTACGTCTATATGAATCCTAGATTTGTTTCACTCCTGTCATTAACTTTGAAGTACTGGAGGAAAACAAAACGGTCTGGATTACTGACGTCTCACTGGCTGCATCGTTTGTTTCCTCATCTTTAAGGTACAGCGTCGGCCTCATCCCCACCAGACAGAATCTGGCCCTGACAGAGAAAGTCACAGCTTCCTCATTTTGCAGGTAAATGTTCTCAGATTAGAGCCGATCAACAGGTTCAGGTGTGTTTCCTCACCTGCCGGCTCTGTGTTTCTGCAGGAGGCGGCTGCCCAGCGTCATGCAGAACCTTCGAATGGCTCAGAATCTGAAGACCGCCATTACTTTCATCGAACAAGGACGTATCCTTCAGTGTGCATTTTGTTCTCTCTTCTAGTCGTGGTTTCACTTTGAGACTGAACAGATCTGTCTCCATCCAAAGACAGATTTGGTTTGACCAGTATTCCTTAACTCGGTGACAGATGTGCGTGTCGGCCCAGATGTTGTCACAGATCCAGCTTTTCTGGTCACAAGGTTGGTCTTAATGTTTCAGAAAAAGCTTCAAACAACAACTGGATTTTCATAATAAAAGTTTAAATACAACCTAAAGTGCATCTGTAAAAACGTCTCCACTGACCAAACTGTGACTTTTCACATTTATTCTAGAAATATGGAAGATTTTGTCACCTGGGTGGACTCCTCAAAGATCAAGCAGCATGTCATGAATTATAATGAGGAGGTAAGGGACCTCTCAGAGGTTACTGCACATATTCTACAGGAGCGGGGGTGAATGTGCTAAAGTTCAGAATCAGAGATTCTTTGTCATTCACACCTCATGTGGTACATGTGGTGGAGCGAAATTATGTACACTGGGTCCCAGTTACATCCAACAATAAAATGTAAAAGAAAAACAGTAATAACATCTAAGATATGAACTAAGAAAAACATCAACTAAATATACACTAAGCACTAATAGCATAAAAACATCA